TATAAGAGGGGAAAACGTGACGCGGTTGGGTAAGGTAATGTGTGTAGAGATAGTGTGTAATTGAACTGCAGTCACAGGGCATTGTTGAAGTTAACGTTCGTTCGTTACAGTGTTGTTTTAGCGCGAGTATTGAGATTAAGTGTATCGCAGAGTTATATTCGGAAAGAATAAACCAGTTTTATTAAGTAAAGACTTGTGTCGTTAAAGTTTCGTTGGAACGTAGTTACGGAAAAATCAATTAACAAACGGAGACGTAACAATACCAATGATTGGCAATTTATCTCACTGAACGCATTTATTGCCCACGTGAAACTTTTTGTTTTATTGGCTGATTAGATAGTTTGTATAAGAATTTATTAGTCTGTGCAAATAAGAAATAAAGTACTAAAATCTTAATATAAAATATACAATCATACTTATTTAATAAAACGTATACAGTATCAGTAATTATTGAGATAGCTAATTTCCAATATCAATTTTTATAGGTTGTGTGGCCGAACAATATATTGCTTTAAAACACTAGAGAGTAGTAAATATCAGATATGAAACCCGTGTTATTATGATTAGCTATTAAGGCCTTATCGTAGAGTTATACTTACAGCGAGTTTCGTTAATTTTATTTGATACAATTTATCAAGAGGCAACTATATTAATTACAATAGCTTATCGAGGCTTAGCGTTTGCCTGGATATTGCAATTACGATGAGAAAGAAAATAAAGAAGGTTGCCATAGAAATATCGGATGTCGGCATCAATGACATTCCTGAAAAACTCGGAAGTGTAAATGGTAGGTGAAATATAAACGTACAATTTAAAAACTAAAATTATAATAACAAGTATCTGGTCTTGTAGAAGTATTTCCAAATGTCATTACGTTAAACTTAACCCTGTACTTTACGCTGAAGCTCGAAAACTTTTTGATTGCAAACGAGTTTTTTATACTATAGTTATACTTGTGAAATTGTATTCCTGGAGAAAAAATACATCGACCAGAGTTCTTGCCCTGGGACAGTGGGGGAAATCAGCACCAAACTACTTATGAACCAAAAAAAAAACTTTTGTGCACAATATCTTACAATTCTGCATATTTTATTTGTCAAAATAACACTATAATCATGCCAGATTAAATTAGTTTGGTAATGTATTTCAAAATACCTATCAGCAAGTATGTCTGTAAGTTGTAACAATACAAACAACAAAAAAAGGTTCAGAAAATGTTTTTGACAAAAAAATTCCTTATTGACATATTAATATAGTATTAATTAATTCAAACCCCATTACAGAAAAAAGTCATAATAAGTATTCAGCATTTCCTAAACACATGAATGTTAAGTTACAAATACTTGGTAACCAATGTAAGGCAAACATATTTGCTAATCATTGTCCAACATTTTACTGCAATCCAGTATTTTTTTTTTAAGTTATGGTATAACAATTAAACGATATCAAGTTTTTCACACTTGGTGATTTCCTTCTGAAAGGATCAAATTTTAAAGTGAAAACTTCTCTCTGCATCTGCAGTGTTTGAGAGAGCACTTGCACAATTCAAGGCCAGTTTCGTGATACTTGGAATCCTCTCACTGAAAGCCAAAACGTTTGGATGTCTACAAAACATCTTGACTAGTAGTAGTAGTAGGGCTGTTATGCACACTTATCACTAATATTAGTAGAAATAACATTAGGCTACTTGTCTTTGTTTTTTTTTTTTTTCGATCCTGTATAATCTAAATAATAACAAAATTTTCTTTAAAATTTTTTTTCAGAATACTCCATATTATGATATAAATATTTGTTTTATTAAGATTTATTTTCAAAACTAGTTTAAAATACTGTATTATTGTACCTCACAGCATTATTTCAATGGATAAAGTCAATCACACTCACTCATGTGTAGCTAATTTAAATTGCATTTGTTTATAAAAAAACTGTATAAAAACATGTAAAAACTGCTTACATAAGGTAATTTAAAAAAAATGTGTAGTGCTATCAACAACTAATCAGAGTAAGCTATACACTTATGGGTGAAATGAAAATTGAACCTGATAACAGTATTAACTATATTGTAGCTATGTTACAGATGGGAAGAAATTGAAATGATGGATTTTTTTTTTCTCCCACATAAAAGCAAGTATATAACATTGACTTTTAATCTCAACAATTTTGGATTTTGTGCACAACATTAACATAAATGAATGATACAAATGCACGAGACCCTAGATGTGATTTTTTGATTGGATCATATAGTAAGATGAAAATACAGATTTTCAGGAACTTGTAAATTTTGTTATATCTGCCAGTCCAACTAATCTTTTTTTTTTAGTAGTTTCTCAAACTCAAAAACTTTGTGAATGGAGATGAGTTTTTTATGTCTGACGTTTGTAAGAAAACACATTAAGCTATTTCTGTTTCTTTCTATTATAAAATATCACAATTTACTTGTAAAATTTTTTAAATTAATGCTTCACATTATGAAACAGATACTTGTTTTGTAAAGTTTTATTTTTCAAAATTCATTTTAAAATACAGAATTATCATATCTCACCGACATTAACATAATGATAGCATTATGTCAATAGGAAGTCATATGTAGCTATATTAAATGACATTTATTTTGAGAATAAAATATTTCATAAAGGTTTTAAAAACATAAGTACATTAATAAAATATTTACATGGAAGTTTAGTGCTATTTTACAGTTGGGAAGAAACAAAAATGATGGATTTTTTTCTTTTAATATAAAATCAAACAGTAAAAATAGTTTTTAATCTCTGTTTTTGGATTTCATGCCCAACATCAACATAAATGATTAATTTAACTGAATTGTGACTCTTTGTATCACAAACAAGTTATCTGTTTTTTATTTTATATATGTTTTTAGTATCATGAAGTGTTAGATGATATAAAATATACCTTTGAACTCTAGAAGAAAATTTATGTATTTCCACTTCAATTTATGAACAGTTTCCAAAATGATACCTCACCTCTTGACACAGAGTTTTTTTTTCCTCTTGAATTCATGCATTCTACAAAAGAAATTTGCAAGCCACCAGCCTTGTGAAAACTCCCACCTAATTTCAATTGAAAAAAACATGAATTTGCACCACAGCAAGATAGCATTATCATGCAGCAGAGCCCACCACCAATAAAAGTGAGACACCTCCATGCACCATGATTCCTTTTACATTCAAGCTTGTGAATCCCCATTCTTTTCCTGTTTATTATATTCAATGTGAATTCACAACATAATGTGAATATTTCTAAAGCTGATGTGAGTGAAGAACTTCCTCACAGAGGAAACATCCTGTGGAAGTCATGGTGGTCATCTTCCATCATTTGGTGGCATCCATTATGCTGGTGGGACTCTCTGCTCCTGTCCCTTCCACTCACTTTCCTTTCTCAATTTCATACCTGAAACTGATGAGGACAAATTTGAGCACCAATTTTCACCTCTAGGTGTGCAGTGTGAACTTCCCTACCTAATGGAAGACACCCTCAGACCTTCTCTGACTTTCTTCACCTTATTTCTCTTACTGCATTGTCTTTTTCCTCTTCACATTGCTTTTACATAAGCCTTACCTCATAATTTCATTATATTTCCTCCCACACTTGGTATATTGATACAGGCCACTTCTTTTTGGCTCTCCTTCTCTCCAATGGTTTTAATTCTTATACTCCTTTTCTAACTCTTTCCTTTGTTCTCCATGTTAGTCATTTCTATTCCAATTCCTGGACTCCTGGTCTTCAGAGTCACCTTGCTAGTTTGTGGGGATGAATTCATAGGTTGCTATTTTACTTTTTTACAGCTCACCTTTCCCATCTTCATGTATTTATTACTACCCTTCCTTGGTACCCCACCTCTCTTTACCTTATGTTGGTAGCCCTTTTCTGTTTCCCTCATGACTTTTCTTAGGAATCTAGATCTCTCCTTTTTTTGCTTCCATGGCCTGTTCTATCGCCTCTACCATTTCTATTCTTCTCAGTCTCCTCTGTTGTTGGAACCTTTTAGGAAAAGTACCCTTCTATTTCAAGTCTGTCTCCTTTCTACTTTTCTCCAAGACTTTCATTTTGCTCCTTCTCTTCATCCAGAGGAACTTGATGGTGTCCTCATTCCCTGGTATTAAATGCTTCAGCTTCCCACTATCAATCTTCCTTCACATCTCTGATTTTTGTGATTATCTCTACCTCAACCTGGCAGTTCTATACTTCGCCCTGGTCTTTCTCCCATTCCCAAACCTATGTCCAGTAAACCATCCATCTTCCACATCTCGTCCCACTTCCATCCAACATCTTACCTGTTGGCCTAATCACTGGTAATTGCCTGGTCTTTTTCTCCCCTCCCCCTTGGTCCCAACTGGTTTCCTTTCACCTTCTATCTGATCCTACATATCTTAACACTTCAGGGGAAAATGTTGGAATTATGGGAGAATTAACCCATTGTGAACGTTTGTAGCCCATCTCTGGATTTTTTCTCCCACCTTTCTGTCCTTCTCCTAAATATCAAGAACTGGCATCTAATTATCAACCTGTCTTTCTTTTATTGTTCTTGGTCATCACGCAATATCAGATTGTGAATTTCAATCTCCATTAGTCATTCCGGCCTAGCCTGTAAACTACATCTCAGTTACCCCATTCTCATGACTGTTTCATATTTTTCTGTGATCCATTTTATGTTCCCATGCATAATTCTCCCAAATTGCCTTCTTCTTTGTGAATTCAATCTATTGGGGTGGTCTGTCAAATTTCCTAATCCTTCATCACCCTGATCCTAGTTATCATTCACTGTTTGGAAATACTTTGTAGTTATCAGAAAATGATTGTACAAATTTTTATGTGTAGTTATTATTATTACTGATGTGCATAAAAGAAGGGACATAAAACCACAAAAAACATTTTAGTAACAGGAGGAAAAAATTGAATAATTTTACAAACTTTATTACAGTATAGGCAAAAATATGTACACCATACAATCGGTGTCTTTAGGGAGCCAACCCCTATGTCATGTATGAAGTGAGGAGTAAAAAAAATCAATACACATAATATTAAATCTTATTATACACATTCTAGAATAATTACTTTAAAAAGTCATGAAGGTTTAGTTAAAGTAATGTTATAGACATATATGTTTTATTTGAAAAGGATGTTTTTTTCTACTGTAGTCCCACAGAAACTATAAATGCTCACTATATTCTCCAAAAAATCTCTATGATTATCTCTAGCTGCAGCTTAACATTTTACATCTTGAACTAATGCAATCAAATAGCCAATAGCTACAGTAAATCATCGTGCTTATTATCATCATAATGTATAAACATTAGCTACCATATCAAGTAATTCTTTGCCCATAGTTGAGCATAAAAAAAGCCAGTAAACAAGGATTTAAAAACCTGCAAATCAGGGATCATGAAAAAAGGTAAGGAAACAAGGCTGAAGGCACTGTAGACATTATTTACTCAAACTACAAATCCCTATTTTGATTCCACCAAGTGTAATTCCAGGTGATGGAAAGGAGCCAAAATGGGGGTTTGTAGTTTGAGTAAATAATGTCCACAGTATCTCTAGCCTTATTTCTTGACAATCTCTATTTGCAGGTTTTTAAACTCCCAATGTTCTATTTATCTTGTATATATAATTGATACTTTATATATATATATATATATATATATACATACATACACACCCAAATGTTATTGTCTAATGATTTATGGCAAAAATTATAAATGTTTGTGTGAATGGATAGATACAAACTTCAATAATAGGCTTAACTACTATTGCACTATATAAATATGGATAGAGGTCTGTTTTTATGCATTGTTACATTTTATAGGTGTTGTACTGAAAAGGTCAGAGGTTGTGAAGCAATGGTATGTCAGTTGATTCATATGAAGTACAAAGTTTGTTTTTGTTTTCTTATAAAAGATGATTCAATAATTTGATGTACTGAAAATGATGGAGTGCATATGGAAACAAAAAAAAAAGTTTACCTATTGGGTGCTAATATTCAGAATTTTATGGTCAGGATCAATACATGTATAAGATAGATGGATTTATTTCTAACTAAATCTTTTCAGTATTGCCATCTACCACCAAGTTGGTCTTATTTTTGTAACACTTCTTTTTCGGAATTTTGAGCCAAGAATACTGAACATTTGGTGTATATTTTGAATTTTGTTTCCTAATAAACTTGTACATGTGTAAATGTATTTAACACATTTTTCAAAAATTATCTGCATTGTGTATTTAACTCTAGACATGTTACTTATCCTTAATGAACTCAATCTTTTTTTCTGTTGGTTAGATATTCTGAATGAAGGAATCTTGGACAGTACGGAAATGAATGAGGCTTGTCAGGCCATATGGGATTACAACATTTTTAGCTTGATTGTCTCTGTAATTAAACAAGATTTTTCTAAAATTAATGGATCTTGGGAAACTGCTGTTAAACTTATAAGCATCTTAAAGTAAGGAAACATTAAATTTCTTAAGCTGAAAAAGAACATTTACGAAATGCTTTTAATATGTATGATAACTGTGGCTGAATTAATTAATATAAAAAGTTATGTCATTTCTGTGGTAAAGATTTAATGGATGTAGAATACAAAATAATGTACACTACATGTATTCAAACACTACCATTTATTCGGTCATTTTTACAATTTAATTATCGCAAGAGCATTAGAGAAGTTTTAAGCTACTGTGGAAATTAACTGTATAGCTTATTCTACCCAAAACATCTTGTACAAACTAGTTAGGTAATTTGTAAATTCTGTTGATACAAAGTTGTGTTATTGGTGCAGGATCTGACAGGTTTATCAGTTTTATTAAGTGCATGAAGATTAAAAATAATGATTGCAAAAAAGCATGCACTTTTTTCTTTACACATAATTTGGCCGTTTTTGCCATTTCTCTCTACATTTATTTTTTATATATTAATTAAGACATGAATTATTCAGAATAATTAAACATTTTTCTTCAAATAGTTAATGTAAAAATAAACTTAAAATAAAAAAACATAAATATCCGATTTTGCGCATGCTGTTTTAATCATGTGTATGAAATAATATTGTACGTAGTGAGTTATGTTTACAGAGTTTTTTTTCTTTCTTATTTTAAGTAACTGTGAAGAAAGAAAAGAAAGTGTGATTTAGGCAAAAACTGTACAATGCTACTTTTTAATTACTGTATAATAACAAACAGAGAGTAGTAAAATCTGAGTGTAGAAACTCGTAAATTTTTTAAAATATTTTACATTATTGCCTAAATTTTGCTGGTTTGATTAACAGGAAAATTATCTCAGTTTTTCAACCAGAAGATAAAGAGACAGACAGGGCTTATAAAGCTCAGTTAACGTTGACTACTGACCGTATCCTAGCTGCAGCAGGTCGATATATAACTACTGTTAAAAAGGTAAGAATCAAAGTAATCGAGTTGGGGAAGGTAAATCTAAAACATTTTTTAAGTTGGTGCTTCTTAATTAAAGATTTATGATTAGTGTATTTTGAAAGATAATTGCTTTATAACTTTTTCACAAACTAGAAAAGAATTTACTTTTATGCTAATTAGGAACATCAGGCTTCTTTTACTAATTATTCAAATTGATAAGTTAACAAAACACTGAACAAAGAAGAAATGAACAGTTATATAATCTATAAAGCACTAGCAAATGGTTAGTAGTTATTTTTTTTCGTGTAGCTGCTAGCAACACAATTAATTGTTGCATTTGTTAAATGTTAATAAATATTTATATACTACTTGTACGTATAAATCTTGTGTGTCATGTATTCTTTTCAAATACTTTTGAATATAAAACTCATTTGAGCTACATATAACAGTGTTTCTGTTTCAACTATTTTACAAAAGATAAAAGATTCTCAAAATGGGTGGAAACTCTTGTATGTACACCATGAGCACCTTGATCATCAAAGTCGATAGTACCCCACTGTATAATTATTCTATTATTAAAAGTTACAGTTTACACTCTGAAAGTTGGCAAAGCATTAGAGGTCAATAGGCCTAACATTTGTGTTAATCATGGACAAATTAATGGGAATGGGGAAAAAAACATCTGATTTTGTCATTTCTTCTTGGCCATCATAAAAAAGCATTAAAAATGTTAAAATTCCTTCTCTCTCACAAACTGCAGACCCTGTAATAAGTTATAGATTTTACTGATAAAATGTTTAACAGTATTTTTTTCTAATATTAGAAATATCATAAGAAATAATAACATATCTGCACCACGTGGGTTTTGAACTTCTAGTCTAATTCTGTTGTGCATATTATTACTTTTTGCAGTGTTATGTTCACAATTTCTTTAAACAACTTAATTATCAATGTGTATCAGTAAACTTGACATGAAAACAGTTTATAATTCAAATATTTAATTTCATAATTTCAAAGTGAAATGCTTAAAGATCCTCAATCTTCAAACTACTCTTCCCCCTTATGTAAAAACTCAAAGCCAGCCCTTATCATTCAAATATATAGCAAGCTTTCCCTTAAATTAGTTGCATCCACCATATCCAAAGGCCACCCACCCCTAATAAAAAATAATAAAACTGTCTTAGCTAAAGGTGATTTCTTCCTTGCCAAAGCTTATACTTGAGTCCTCTAGTTTTACCATTTTCAACATTAAATATGAAAAAGGTGATGTACCAACACTATCAATTCCCTTAACAGCCTTAAACACCTCAATCAGATCCCCTCTAAGCAGAGGTATGTGCTCTACTGAGTGCCCCAATAGTTCGGATTGTGATATCTCACCTATATTACTTTACATTTATTATAATTAAAAACCATCTGCCATTTATTTACCCAATTCACCAAATAATCCAAAACATTTTGTCAGGCAGTAGCATGCTTCTTACAGTCAACAACACCCAAAACTTTCAATATGATTACTTACCTCTTCTTACAGCTACAGCTATTCTCGATTTGACTGCCCTCTAATGCTTCCACTAGCCTTGAAACTCCCACCTAATTCCATGTATATACCACGTGGTTCAGCTGCATTTAAGCATGCAAATTTGCATGCGACAGTCCTTCACCAATAGGAGTGCAACTAAACCCCCTGTCACAGCTGACTCGCTCTGTGCAGTTGAACTCAATCTTCACTTCTCGATTCGGCACGATAGTGTTAAGACCTAGTGCTTCATTTCAAACTTTTATTTTCTTCTTCAGTGTGTTTTGAAAATATTCGGTTACTGATTTTTGCATTTTAAAGTATTGTTTATAATGCACTATTTAGTTGGATTTCTTTATTTGATTGTGAATTCTATTTCTTACTCAGTTACCAGAAGTAAGTCAATATTTATGAATTCACAGTTTAATATTAGGACTACAATGGCTACCATCAGTAGTGCCATTCAAGAGCTCGCAACAACAGCTGCCGGTTAAGAATTATTGACACAAGAAGTTTTAGCCATTGTTTATCAGGAGATGGCTTCTTTCATGTGGGCCAAGGGATTTCCCGATCTACAAGCAATTCTGCCATTACCTGAAGACTTAGATCAGGATGGTGCAGACTTGGACAGCCTTCACCCTCCCTTCCTTTGCTGTGCATGCATGTTCTCAGCCTGTTGAAATGATTAGATCTCAGTCACCATCTTTAGAATTTATATCACAAGTATGTTATGTTTTTTGTCTTTGTCACATGTGTCATTTAAATCCCTCCCTTCTTATCAAATGCAGCTCCTAGTTCTGAGTTTTGTTTTCCTCCCTTTGTCTGATGTTGGGATCCATGCCAAATGTTTTGCAGATCAATTATATGAAGGGGTTAGTATGGTACACCCTTCACATACTGCAGAGACTCATGCACTTGCATATCATTATTCAGCAAATCCTAGTGTCATTCAAGTTTTGTCGGAAAGACTCTTCCCTCCTTTTCCTCACACCTCCTGCCTTATCTACTGTCCCAGTTCCTTTCATCCCCCTCAAGACCCTGTTTCCCATCAGCATTTCACAGAAGTAGTTCAAGACCTCCTCATCAAGGATACCATTGAACAGGTTTCTCCTATATTTCCAGAAATCTATTCCTGACTTTTCATCATCCCCAAGAAGACCGGATATTGGTGTCCTGCTTTCAATCTCTCCTATCTGAATTGCTTCCTCGATGTGTCTCTGTTCATCATGCCATCCTACCTGTCTCTCAGATGTGCCTTTCTTTCAGGGCTTTGGATGATGAGATTTGATGTGTTTGATGCTTATCTTCACATCCCCATTGCTCGGGTTTCACTTCATTATATATGTTTTGTTCAAGAGGATCAAGTATATCAATTTCAAGCTCTTTCTTTCAGGCTGACATTGGCAACCTACCCTTTCTGTCAGGTGGTCCAGTCATTTGCATAATTCCTACATTTTTGCAGGCTCATTTTCCATTTTTATATGGATGACTGGCTTCATCTGGCTCCATCCTTCACAGAGTCTTCCTCAGACATTCAACTTCTCAGAAAAGCTGCTTGGGTGGGTTGGTTTATCCAGATGGAGAAGTCCATTATACACCCCACTCAACATCTTGTTCATCTGGGGATGTTTTTTCAAGTCACATCTCAGCCTTCTCCTCTTCATCTGCATTCCATGGAGTATTTAGTTCAGAGAGCATTATCAGCACCTTCACTCCCTGCATGTGAGGTTCTGTTTCTTTTGGGGACTTGAGCATCACTGGAGTCTATTATCCCTCTAGGCCATACTCACAGGCATTCCTTGCAGTGAGTACTATAAAATCAATGGCACCACATCAGGGACCTTCTGGATTTACAGATATCCCTTTCCTGCTTTCCTTCAGTCTGACTTCCTTTGGTGGTTAGATAGGGACAACACAACAGTGGGGGAACCTATTCCTCCTCCCCATCTGGATATCCACATCTTCACAGATGCCTCGTTATTGGGATGGGGTGCATGCTGCAATACACAGGAAATCTCAAGCTGTTGGTCTCAGGAGAAGTTAGGTCTTCATATCAACCTTTTAGAACTCCATGCTATTTGTCAAGCAATGGTTGATTTGGTGTCATCTCTGTGGGCTTGACAGTTATGATTCATTACAACAGCTCAGCAGTTGTCTCTTGCATTACCTGTCAAAAGGGCACTCGATCCTGGTTCTTATGTTCCCACACTCTTGATCTCTTCTTCTGGGCTGATAGCCATCAAATTTGTTTGCTGGCTTGTCACATACTGGTGCACTCAATCTTGTTGTTAATCGTTTGTGCCATCCTAACAAAATTCTACTCATGGTGTGGTTTCTTGACCCAAAGTATTTCAATGGCAATATTCTCAGTTGAATTCTCCCCAACTGGATGCATTTGCCACTCATTTGAATTCCAAGCTTCTTCTCTTTTGGTCCCCAGTTCCACATCATTTGGCTTTGGCTGTGGATGTATTTAGCCAGGATTATAAGGACCTTTTCCTTTATACTTACTCTCACATCCTTCTACTCTGAATAATTTCTCCCATCTAATCCACTCTGCATTGGGTCCTTCTTGTGGTTTCTGCCCCCTGTCCCTTCTCCAGAACAACCTCCATTAACTTTTCCTCTCTCCTGGTCCCTTTTCTGGCATCCTCACTCATGGGTGCTTCATCCCTTCATTCCCACGCTCTGGCTTTATACGTGGCTTTTGTGCAGTCTCTTGCATTTGGGACTATCTATATCTAGCAGTTTCCTGCTCAGCCAGATATTGTCTTTCCCTGTAGCTGTTCTCCATACATCAGTACAACTCTGAGTGGGTAAGTTATTTTATTTCAATTCTCCATACTTTTTTATAAGTTTACTTTACATTTTATGGATCTTGCTCTCTGGTGAGGGATTCAGGACTATTTACATGTGTAGCATTCCTGTTGTCTCACACTGTCCATTTGTCATCCATGTTTATGTATCAACGTTATTTAAGATTATTCTGTCGTTGATCTATCTGACATGGACTCTCCCCCTTCCTCATCTTTCCTTCTTCAGGTATCTGATTTTTTACATAGTTGTTTGACAAGGAGCTGTTCTTTTCAACCATTATGGGTTGTAGGGCAGCCCTGTCATCTACCTTTCATTTTTCCCATATTTGTCATGTTTTTTCCTCTCCAGTTCTCATATTTAATCCTGCTCTGATTTTAATTGTCTCATGTGTCCAGTCAATGCTTTATGGTGTTATATGTCATGCCCAGCACCTTTCCATGGCTCTCAGTCCCCTTTTTGTTTATCCAATGCAATCCATCCATTTCTCATGATATTTCTCCTATCACCCTTAACAGTGGGGTTCATCAGGTTTTTTCTAATGCATATTCTTCCCTTTCTCGTGAATCTTGTCAATTGTTCTGTGTATCATCCCATCAAATCCATCACTTCACACTGTCCTTGGCTGCTCACTTCCATCATCTTGTGGAGGAAATTGTCAAGTCTGGCATGTGGACCACTCCCCACACTTTTCACTTGTACTACTTGCACCTTCTGACAGTTTCCTGCTCAGCCGGATATTGTATTCCCCTGTAGCTGTTGTACATTGGTACAACTCTGAGTCAGTTAGTTATCTTATTTCATTTCTACATAATTTTTTCAGGAGCATACTTTACATGTTATGGATCTCGCTCTGTGGTGTGTGGTGCCTGTCCAGGTATACTGATATCCAAAATCTGCACCGTGAGATCTATAAGGCCTATCACACTCACTGTTGAAATGGGTTGTTCCACAAGACTGCTTGCAGGTTCTTCCTTACAGTATATTGCATCATAAATATGTTCGTACCAGACTGTACACTTATGGACTAACATGAGTAAAGCAGAAAGAGATTGCTGCCCATCTCTGAGGTTCCTTAGATTGCCAAATCTGGTTTGGTTTGCTTTTCAAAATAGGATTCCATGGTCACCCATTGCACTTTCTGTAGTAATACTTTACTCCGGACTCTCCAATGTGTTTCTTTTCCCCCCACTATCCCAGTTAGGTACGGGAGTCCTTACCACTTACCAGCTCCTAGCTGCTGGAGCAGTGAATCATAGAGGAATCCTCCTGAGTGTGCACAGTTCCACTCAGTTGAGAGTAGGGCATTGCTGTTCTGCCTGTTTACAAGGCATGATTATCCTCCTGCCATGAGTCTGATGTTTTATTCCAGAAGACACTGATCTAAACTGGATTTTTCCACCTATTTTGCAGTTCACCTCTCCGAGTGAGAACTCTCCCTTCTACTGCCACCTGGGTGTTGGTTTCTGGGCAACTGGTTTTGATTGGAGCTGGAACAGCCAACATAAGTCCTTACATGTGAGTGGGTGGGAACTTCCTCCTTCTATGGACTGGATGTTACATCCCCAATGCTGAATGATTTTGGACTGGAATTAACCCTCCACATTGCATTTACACCTTCTTGATGTCATCCCAATGCACAATCTAGGGTTTATTGTTACAAGTTGTGCTGGATAGTTTAGGTTCTCAGAATGGAGGCTTCTCTTTCCTTTTGGTTCTTAGACCTGAGGTGAACGGTTGAGGGTGCTCGTCTAGGTAATTTTACACTGGTCCTTCCATCTGCTCAATGTGTGATTCTAGCTATAACTGTTAGAGGAGGTAAGTAATCATATTAAAAGTTAATATTTTCCTACACTGAAAATCTATTTCTGATAGATACTTATCTTCGCTCACACTTCCCACCAATCCTCCCTACTTCCGGTATTATTTTTATGCCTAATCTCAAAGTGGAGATTGGGTTCAACTGCATAGGAGTCAGCTGCCACAGGAGAGTTTGTAGCACTCCTATAGGTGGAGAATTGTTGCATGCTTAAATGCAACTGAACCACTTGGTATACATGTGAAATTAGGTGGAAGTTTCAAGGCTATTGACAAGGGAAAAAAAGAGTGCAGCCAAATCGAGAATAGCTGTAACTGTGAGAAGAGGTAAGTATTTATCAGAAATATATTTTCAGTGTAGGAAAATATTAACTTTACTATCATCAGCAAAATTAAATAATCTATTCGCCATTTATTCATCTATGTCACTGATGTAAATAAAAAAACACACTAAGCCTTGAGGTACTCCATTCATGACACTGTCGCTGTCCCCAATTTTGACCAGAGCACCTTACCCCATCATCCATGCTAAGGAATTGACTGTCACTCTTATAAAGTATCCACAGCTTTAAAGTGTAGAGAAAATTAAAATGATTATGAATAAATCAGAATTCAGTGACAATACAACTGAATTTGTAAGAGATGGTTGTTATGAAAAGCTTGAAAAAGACTCAGTTAGTAATACCTAAACCAACAAACAACTAAGAAAATTGTAGAAATTCCAATTCAGCATATGCCAATCTTCTAAGCCATTGTGGTAAAACTTTCTATGTATATGTATAATCAAAATGTATTAAGTTCATTATATAATAACAAGAACAATGAAAAGAGATATATCGGTGTTATTTGTAAAAAGTTACAAGAAAATGTAAAGAAGTTTAACACCTGCACTTTCATTAAGGCAGAAAATTTCTGAAATATTAACTGACAAAAGTTTTCCATCTATATCGGCCATTAAGCTAAAGGGAATAATGTACAGGATGACATGTGGATATTGCAAACTATTACATTAATGGAAGCAGAACATCTCCTTTAAGTTAGAAAGAACTATCTTATACCAAATTCAATTAAAGATTTAGTGTCTGTGGTTTTAGAAAGGTACTATATCTGTGATTGGCTTAATTCGTTTGATAAAGAAAGAATCATAAGAATGGAAACAAAATTCCCATTGTAGAAAAGTAAAGGAAGAAGTATTAAAAAAAAAACACAAGATATTGGCGTGGAATGAGATTTACAAATGCCACTAGTTAGAAATTAGTTAATGTGAAGTGAGTTGATTGGTATTATATTCTGTAGGGAATTTTAACTAAGTTTGTATACTTTTCAATTAACATATTTTCCATGTAGTTATTTAATTTCAATATTTTCTTTTATATAAGATAATTTGTATTTGTTATTAAATTGTATATTTTGTAATTTACTGTCATTTACATATCACTTATTGTTCTTATTCATTTTTATAGGTCGTTCTTTTAAGTATTTTTGAGCTATATTTACATAAAATCTTGTACGTGTTTAAATAGTTGTATGCAGTCCTTCATCTTTGGCAGTTGCCATCTCACTGATGCTCGAAAGCACCTGTAAAATGAGTTTTGTGACGGCTTGTTAGTCTGTCATGATGCCCGCCACTTTGGATCCATTACTGACCTTTTTATTCTTACCAAGAAATAAAGACTTTTGAATTCAGAGTCTTATTTGTCATGACATTGGCTATGCAATCAGTTGTTGTTTGTATACACTAACAAGCTCATAGGTAACTTCACGTTGCTTGCTATGACTCTGATACTTTAATTTTAATTGTTCTAAACTAGTGATATGTCACATGCAGTAATACAAAGTTTTTGAACAATACTATATATAGACATCTAATATTTGTAACTAAGAAACTAAGTCAGTTTTGTAAAATTTAAATTATGAAATTTGATACTAATTATTAGCAAATTTAGACTAGCAAGAAGAGTAACAAATTTGATCTAATTTGTATTTGATAAACTACTTTCTGCGTGACATGAAGCCACAGGGCTGTCATGCTAATTGAAGGTCATCATAGCTCAGTTGTACACTGTGAACATGTCTCAGTTTAGCTAATAAAACTGTCTTGTTGATAGAAAAATATTACAATTCAATCTGTGCAAATTAACTTTTGTTTTCCAATTTTGTGAACAAAAATCAGGATACAGCATCAACCCACTAACAACCCCGTAGACTATTTGACAGGTGCTGTTTACAGCCCTTATTCATTTTTCAAACATGAAGGACTGTGGATGTGTTATATGTCTGCATTCAGTATTGCCCCCCCAGTGGCACAGCGGTATCTCTACAGACTTACAATGCTAGAAACCGGGTTTCGATACCCGTGGTGAGCAGAGCACAGATAGCCCATTCTGTAGCTTTGTGCACAACTACAAGCATTCAGTATCTCTGAAGTATTATTTAACACAACATTAATGCTATTAATTGTTTTTATATGTGCATTATCCTTATGATAGTAGAAAGATAGGGTTGAAAATTTTCTAATAAAGCTTTGAATGTAGAGAAGTGAATGCTGTGCATATTGCTTAGACACACAATGGTTTTTGCCTGAGGCAGTAGTTTTCAAACTTTACATAGTCATGGAACCCACTTATTTCATTCTTTCTGTCAAGGAACCCGAATCCTTTACCTACCCTTATAGCTTAGCATAGATGAAAGTGAGCAGGCTCTTAACAGTATTGTTAATGTAAAATTATAAATAAATATACAAAAATATCAAGACTAAATGTCAACTGACTCATTATTTTTAAAGATACATTTGGTCCTTGACAGGTTAACACTCAGTAATTGGAAAGAAACACTATTACTTGTTATCTTTGTATGGAACCCCTGATGACCCCTGGTGAAACTCTGAGATTCCATGGAACATAGTTTGATAACCACTGACCTAAAGCACACATTTGAAAGTTTTCCACAAGATATAGATCTAATGCTTTAAATAGTAACCATTTATTTTTAACCATTTTATTTTTCTACAAAAATATGGTGTATCAAACTTGTTCTGTATGTTGCACTATCCCTTTTGACTTAAAAGAAAAACTGACATACATGCTTTCTTTGTAAGAAATTGTCACTTCTTTGATCATATACAGGAAGTGTCCAAGGACAGTACGGAATACCAGGTTTTGTCCTGTATGTTTAAAACCTTAAACGTTATTGCGAAAGTTCATCCTCAAGGGATCACAGTTTCTCTCAGCTCCAAGAGATTGTTGAGTCTGCTTATGTCCAATTCTGATGAAGTTTACACATTTTCAGCCAAACTACTGGTTTCTTTGCTTTATTATGGAAAGTGAGTATCACAAAATATACCTTTCCTTTGATGAGTACCTTGCTTTTTATTATTAATTTGCTTTTTGGCATATGTGTAGATTCTTATATTCATAGTTGTTATAGTTTTGGACATCATTCTTATGTTTATAGATGTTATAGTCATGGACATCATTCTTGTATTTATCTATATATATAAGGCACAAAAATCTGTGTGTCTGTCTATTTGTTCATTATCTAACTACTCCTAGGTTGCTTGGTAAATCTCAGCCAAACTTTGTGGGATGATAGTTTGGAACAAGGGGCATGTTAATGGGGTTCACAACCTCCCTCCAACCCCCATTATTGCTCTTATTTAGCATTTATTATTTTTGATGTAAGTTAACATTATCTACATTCATAGATATGCCATGACCTTACACCGAAAAAAACAAACTTTATTACATTTTATTTAATGTGGCCAATGACCATGGAAACACATGCCCTTAGTTCCACAGTGTTTCACCATTACCTCAAAGAGGTCTCACATTGCTTCCTGACTTGATATTAATTGTAAGTATGTGTATATATAAGTAGTGTTACTTTTAGCTTCCAAAACAGTCAACTTTGGGAAGGGTACACACAAACTACACCCCTACCTAAGTGTGTCAAGATGCCCAAACGAGTTTTGAATTCATTGTATTCATGGAAATCAAAAATAGCGAAGAGGATGGAAGTAAGGAAATCACAAAAAAATGGCAAAAGAAACTGTTGCAAGATGAGCTCAAGATAGAAAAAAATGATAGCTAGAAAAAGAGCATAAGAGACAGCTGATGAAACTGCTGCCACACAAGAAGGAAACTGTGGCAGTATGGCAAGAAGGGTGTAAGAATAAGTTGCAGAAATTGCTGCTAGAAGAGAACAAGATAGACAATATCAAGCTCAAAGTAGATTTGCTGCTGCTGAATGAAGATCTAGAATGTATTTCAAAACAACTTAAGATTATGATCCAAGTCATGATTAATAATCAGAATCTGTATAGGATTTTGGAAGATCTATAGAATGTGATTTTTGCAGGGCAAAAAGGTATCACAATGAAAAGCCAGGACTGTGTTGTGATAATGGCAAAGTTGAATTGCAGCCTTTGAGAGAACCACTACCACCTCTAAATGTACTCCTTCATGGAAATACTGAAGAATCTGTAAACATCCTAACCAGTATCTATACATATAAAGTAGTAAAATCTGTGTGTCTGTCTGTTTGTCCCTTATCTAACTACTCCTAGGTTGTGGGGTCAGTCTCAACCAAACTTTGTGAGATGATAGTTTGGAACAAAGGCCATGTTAATGAGTGGTTCACAACCTCTTCACCTTCCTTATTGATGTTAATGTTAACTACATTTACAGATGGTGCCACATCCTTACACAAAAAAAACTTTATCAAATTTTCTATAGCACAACATACACATAGAGTGTGTGTGTGTGGTGGGTAGGGGGGGGTAGTCAAACGTCTTATATATCTCAGAGAGTGTGCTAACACTTGATATGGAGGAATGCAATAAAATAAAATGGCCACCACTATTGTAATAATACATAAACCCAGCTGAAGTTTCTACTCCATCAGCCATAATATTGCTGATATGAAAAACCATTTCTTGAGTTATACCAACTTCCTACTTTGACCCATGACCTTACAACTTCGGCCTGTAAGACACTTCTATGGCAAATTATTGTCAACTAATTAATCACGTGAAACACTGTGGAAGGGCATTAAGAGCTGGGTGTTAAAACCTACCTTTACTACTTATTCCTTCAAAGTCACCCTGACCATTGCACAGTGTATACGATTTTTTAAGTATATACATGGTAAATTTGTAAAACTTATACAAAACTTTTTTGAGGTAATAATGAATACTGTAATAATATGTTATAAATAAATTGTGTGAAAGTTAGAATTTTTGTGCTGTTTCTCATGGCATCCACCTCACATTTCTTTCAGTTCATAACCTGGACAAAGGATGGGTACCTCAGTTTATAGTTGTTATAATATCAGATATTATTTGTATGTTTATAATGGTGAAAATCTTGGCCATCATTCTTATGTTTATAGTTGTTATAATATTAGACATTCTTATGTTTATAGTTGTTATAATATTAGCCATTCTTATGTTTGTAGTTGTTATAATATTAGACATTCTTATGTTTGTAATTGTTATAATATTAGACATTCTTATGTTTATAGTTGTTATAATATTAGACATTCTTATGTTTGTAGTTGTTATAATATTAGACATTCTTATATTTGTAGTTGTTATAATATTAGACATTCTTATGTTTGTAATTGTTATAATATTAGACATTCTTATGTTTATAGTTGTTATAATATTAGACATTCTTATGTTTGTAGTTGTTATAATATTAGACATTCTTATATTTGTAGTTGTTATAATATTAGACATTCTTATGTTTATAGTCATAATCGTCAATTTCAGATTTCTCTTGATCTATTTAAACGTGTTCCAATTAACTTAAATATAACTTATATAAAACTTAAGTGGGTAATTCAACAGCTTGATGTTCAAGTTATAATGGAATTTTACACAGTTCAACATTTTTTTGTATTTGTTTACAACTTATATAAATGGGTTTCCTATAAATCTCACTACCAGGTTTTTAGTATAAACACAAACTAGAAATCATAAAGTTAAATATGTGATTTGGATAAAAAAAATGTTATTAATTTTAGGTACATGTATGTAATATATTTATTTCTATAATAAATTTTTATTATCTTAACCCGAGAACTTATCAAATTTATTTTAGAGCTGATCTGATGTTTCCATTCAACATCTAATTTGTTAACTTTTGGTGATTAGAGTACCTATTGCTTTGAAATTAAAATCTGTTAAGAAAAAATTTCAAATCAATTATCATGATATTCGCCGTTAATTTTGTTTCAGGGACTTTGTCTCTTTGGTCAGTACAAGCACTCTACAACCTCTCTGGGACGAGGCAGTCTATCAGATTTATACATCAGAAAATCCTTCTGTTGTCAAGTGAGTATTGCACACATTTACAGTATAGCCTTTAGATAATATTAAATGATGCCTTATATTTATAACTTAAATACATGTGTCCCTTTCGTGGTGAAAAAAAAATCTTTTTAAGTTTGCTTTATCTGTGTTTACAGATGGAGTATTGAAGTTCTGTCTTGTGCTCTTCAAACATTTGCACTCTCTGCACATCACCTTACAACAAATTGCAGGCAAGTTCTACATATTTCTCAAAACTTGTTTTACGTTGATCTTTTGTTTGATCCTGAAAAGCTGAATGTTCATTGTTCTTCAGTTTATTTGGTTAACATTTTAGGAGTGATAGAGCTTTTGTATTATGTACTCAGATTATTAATTTATGCCTGTTAAGTGCTATATGTAAACAGTTGCTTAAATATTCAAAAAATAACATTTACCTTTTAAATTTTTATTTTTGAATGCTTGTTTTATAAGCTTAAAACATCTATTTTGTAATATATGCCAAATGTGGTATAGGATATTAGTTTTTTATGGATAAAATTACTCCCTTCTTTGTATTTAATACTCTTATTATTTCTCAAGTGATCTTCTAGAGGTTCTTCAAAAATGGCAAGGTAAAGGCTTTGACCATAAATTGCAAAAATTACAGCATCATTTACATAAATGTCTGGATGATTCCCAAGCTATTGAAAATGAGGTAGGTTATCGAAGATGACTTGAAACAACGTTAAACCATATTAAACAAAAACAGGAATATAATTACATGAAGCATTTATTAGACATTTCAGAATTCTGTCTTTGGTAAACTAGAATTACAAAATGATACACAGTGGCAAGTACACTAGGAATTTGTTCTACAATAAATAATAGTAAACAATCTGAATACAAAAAAGAACAGGAGAAAATGAACAGTATTTAGCGTAAATGGAATAAGTTATATTAAAATAGATTTAAAAAATGTGTATTATTTAGAGATGGAATAAGAGTTTTTATGTACAATGTCTTTTTTTTTATCAGAAGTTTGGTGGGATGGAAAATCAGTAGTAACAATGAAATGGGTACAGATTTACTAGTTATAATCTTATTACTATAGTGAATAAATATAAAAAGACTGAAGGACAAATGTGGTTCTGTGTGTAACAGGCAGCACCCTTGGGGACTAATTGTTGAAGTTTCAATTATACTGCCAGTCACACCAAATTTATTTAGTGGGGGATTTGCAGTAGCGAGTGGAGCTCACAAGTCACTAAATCTAGGTAATTTATGGTTAGAATAAATAATCAGAGTCCTAGATCAATATTAAACAGATTATAATAACATTTATTAAACCTTTTCATATAACATTCAATACAAATTAAAAGTTTGTTAATCGTTATACCCTTTTCAGTTACCGTTAATCAGTACTATCCACTAATATAAAGTACACTTCTTTTAATTCAACATAAATCTCCTTTTATCATTACTTACATTAAGTGATCAAGAGAAACCATAAATCTATACTTACAACAGAACTGAACTGGTAAACTTTTGGAGCCTCGAGACTTCTATAGTCATATTCACGAATTGGAGAGTTTGAGTACTTGATAACAATTCAAGAACTCGGAGGAAAACTGATTTTTTGGCTTCAGACAGGGGTTTTTAACCCATATTTTCTTGATATTCTCTCGACCTTCGAAATAGTATCCAAAACTACCCATAAGAAGTTCTACCATTTTATTAGCCGATCTGTGCAACTTCCTGGGCTAGTCCAAAACCATAACCAAAACTCTCAAGTGATTGGTTACTGTTATGGAGTTAGCCAGTTGCCCTTCCACTTGTACTAATACACTAGCGTCTTGTAAGGAATATGGCATCAAAGTACCGCTCTTGCTTGTTAACATCGACTTTTTCGTTACTTCTACAGTGCTAACGAGTTAGCGTCAGTAATCCATCACAACCCGTCATGGGTGCTCGTGCACTTACTTCGTTGCTAGGCAGTATCTCTACATGCTTTTCAATGCCACTGACCCAGCTATCTGTACTTTCTAGCTCTCGGCTTTATTTCATAATACAGACGTCCTTACTTTTCTCCATGTATATGTTACTCAAAAACTCAGAAAATTGTCACAACTTTGTTCTTTTCAACTATTAAATATACTGAAGCAATTGCAAAATTCCCTTAAAAATATTCAATTACTTCATGTGAAATTTCAATCTTTTTATTTGTTGAAAAACAAATTGGTAATACATTCTTGTCCTTTTTTTAAGTTTATAGACAAGTGTAATGTATGTTATGCACATGTGAGAACTTTTATGAAAAACAAGTTAATGACCTTGTTTCTTCTATTAAATCAAATTTCTCTGGCAAGATACCTTAAAATGTTTTAGTTTTCAAATATTTTAATTTGTAACTAGATTCTTTAGAATAATATGATTTGTATCTTTTCATTTTTTGATTAGAAACGACACAAGGCAGCAACAAAAATACAAGCTGTGTACAGAGGGTACAGAATTCGTAAACAGTTAAAGTTAGCTAATTATAATCTGGCACGATTACAAAGACACTACAGGTTAGTATAGAATTCTTTTAAAAACTAACAATTGTCAAACTAACAAATGTATACAGCATGTCAAATTTTTTTTACATATTAATGCATAATGCAATATTCAAATTTTAAAATATATGGTTAGTTAGTACTTGGAATTTTATGATTGTCTTCCTTTCAACATTTTTGTGAGTTTTAAAACTTCTGAATAGTGTTTGAATTTAAAATATGTAGTTAGATCCATTGCACTGGCCTAGTATGGCTAGATATTGTCTAATATTTTTGATAAAATCTTGGGAATACTAAAAATTATGATAGCTAATAATGTATAGAAGGTATTAGTAAAGAAAAAGTGGGTATTTACTAAATTGTTTTTAATTCCATTCATTACTTTGCTGGTTTACTTTGTCTTCTTTAAAATTTTAATGAACTTTAAACTTCAGTAGAATCCACTGATTATATTTTAATGTTCAGAATAATCTGTTGATTAATATTTAGCATTCCACTGATGGAACCTTAACCTTTAAAAGAATGTACTTATTAACCATTAAACTTTAGTAGAATCTCTTTCTGGTCAATGTAAAATGCTTAGTATTGCACAATATTGGATTACATGTTCTTTACACATCATGACATCTAAATCAAAAAAATTTACAGTAAACTGTTGGTTTTATCATCATTGATTTACTCTGTTTTGTAACACATTCAAGGAATATCTTTTACAGAAATGTAATATTTCATCTTACTATAATGGATGTACCATGTATATATGTATCTATGTTTATGACTGAAATAGTATATACAATGTGGCGCCATCTATTAAATGGAACCACAAACAAAATTCCATTAAAACATTTCACACTTTGGGTATTCTAGATTCAGACAATTAAAAAAAATAACTATGGTATGTGCAACAACCATTTCTTTATCACAGAACACAATTGTAAATAAAAGTACTCCCTTTTCAACAAGAACATGACTTTCACTAGGACTGTACGTGAGGGTTTGATTATATCTTTATTGATGTAATTTGTAAATATAGTACCAAAAATATATAGTTTTCAAAAAAACTGTTATTTTTTCAAGAAATGTACCTCTTTTAATATATTAAAACATTAAAGTTTATATCAGAACAGTCCAAACACCTTTCCCATACAGTACTTCCCAGAAAAATCTTTTTTTTAGAAAATTTTTACTTTTTCTCAATTTTATTTAAATGAGATATGATTATTACGATTTTGAAATTTCTTTAAATTATTCAGAAGTGAAATTAGGAGTAAGGAAGTATAAACGTTGTCACCGTATGAGAAGTAGGTGTAGATAGTTCTATGTATTGCAAAGAGAAAGGTATTTAGGGAATGGATCTATTATTACTCAAAACCTCACTCGGTATTTGTGTTACGAATTTGTGTGGATTTCATCATTTTTTATAGACACTTAGAGTAGTAATACCATCACCTTGTTGAGTTTTAATACTTGCTCCCGGTACCCAGGTTTTGAAAGCGTTGCTAGATCTGGTGTCTCTTACTAGATAAGTTGATTGGTTTGTCATTTTTTGGGTCGTATCTTTCATCTGAAATTGTCTGTTGTCCAATAGATGTTTGGTGGGTATCAAGTGGAACAGGGTTAACCCACTTATGTTTAACCTCACAGTCATTGCAAACACCTGCATGGCCATGAGATTTATTCAGAACTCTTTAAATACCTAACCTTTTACGTGAGTAGTCTAGGCAGGTCACTTAACTGTTTTAATTACTTTAAATATACAGCACTGACTTTACATTTTATAAACATTGTGCATTCAAATACAAAATACCACAACCAAAAAATGTTTCATATTTGAGTTTCCTCTGTGGTTAAGTTTTGATGTAGAAGTATGGTACTTTTTAAATTTATATTTTTTATTCCTTTGTAGAAACCTCCAGTGAATGTATGATTCTTTCTGAATGAATAATCATATCATTAGAATTCTAAATCCTTCAAACTTGTTCTTAGAACCCTATGTATAGCTCTCTACTTTCTGTGTTCTATAAGTTGTATGGTCTATATACTGCTAATGCACCATAAACTATTAAGTTTTTTTACAAATATTTTGATAATTTGTGGAGAAAAATGAGTTTGTATTCATTTTTGTGCTTTGTTTTTGCATTTGTCAGTATTTTACCAACATACTTTCCCAAAATATCACAATATATACATATATATTTGCATTTGTATATGTATTACGCTACCAAATATTACTTGTCATGATGTGATATTAGAAATAAGCATTATTCCAATATGTTTTTGAAAATAGATTGTCTGTTATAAAGTGTTTAAATCTGTTTGGTACTTATTCCAAAATTTTAGCTGTTCGTATATATATACACCAATAGACAATTTTCAAACATTTCTTGCAACACTAACTTGATGTATGGTAAGATGGCATAAATTCATAGTTGTTTTTCTTATGTGATAGTTTATTTTCAAGAAAGTAGTACTGCATTATCAATCTAATCAAAAACATCTTAGGTGTGAACAAATAATGTGTGGCCAAAAAAGGATTGAACATGTGACTAAAAGGAATGAAATGAAAATTGGTGGCCAAACTGGTAGCTACATGTATAGCATTGATAAGAAATTTACAGCAAATATTCATTCATTAGTTAGCTAGGCTGCATTGTTTGTTCAACTTGGGGCATGATGGTAGGTAAAACAAAATATGCGACCTAGCTAACTAATGAATGACTATTTGATGTAAAATTCTTATCAATGATATAAGTGTAGCTATCAGTTTGGCCACCAATTTGGATTTTATTTCGTTAAACTGCCTGCTCAATCTTTTTTTTTGGCTGCACTTTTTTTTTTCACACATAAGGTGTTTATGATTAGATATCATGACTTTTTGTCAATACACACCAACAAACCACAGCAAGTAAGAAAGTGACACTTGATAGTAACCAACATTAGCTTTAGGCTCACAGCCTGATTATAAAGAACAGACCTATACTTTACAGAACCAACCAGATTCTTTAAATGTATGGTGGTAGTTTTTCTTCTCTAAAACAGCTGTATTTAATTCGAATGACACAAAATTAAAAATGGTTAACTTTTAATCTTAGATGAAACTGTGGTAAAAATGTCAGACCTATAGCTCACTTGACTTTTCATTTGGGCATGTGCAAAAATTTTGTTCAGAATTGGCTGTTTTTGTTGAATAACTTCACACCTGTGGCTTATATTGAGACCAAATTTGACCCTTAATTGTATGTTATAAACGTCTTTCAGGATACCAAATTTGAAGAAAATCCATCAAAGTATGTTTTTGGGTGTGATCGTGGAAATAGAAAAAAAGGGAAGAAATTCAATCCAAATTGGAGATTTTATATCTCGTGTGTTTCTTAATGGATTTCCTTGATATTTAGTATGTGAAGTAAGGGTCTGCTAGAACACATCCGTTGAAAATGTGTGATAGTTTAGATTACAATAGTCTGAGCTACAGAAAGTGGAAAATTGCTAAACTATCACTCCTGTTAATAACACATAGTTTGTTGTGCAGGTTGTTTTGGCTGTACATCACACTAATGTGTGTCTTGATATAATGTTACAGATAAATATCATTGCATCAATATTCAGTATTATTGACTTGCAATACAAAATATACCAGTCTTTCACATTTCACGAAAGTGGTGAGTTTGCTTTTTCCCACAGGAAGAAGGATTCTCACCATGCCATTGTAAATTGGCAGTATTGGCAGAACATAATGTTCACTTAGGTTTATGATAAAGTATCTACCACAGAGTAATGAAGCAACATATATATATATAATGCAAAACACAATTCTACTTCTCTTTGCACTTTTCTTTATTCTGTGTAGAAATACGTTATTATGTATTGGTAATTTAGTATGTTTTTTGTTATTAGGCTTAAAAAGAGTAATGAACAGGAACAGCAATTGCAAAATTGGCGGAAAGAGGAACAAAAATTTGACTCAAAGATTGAGCGGGCTCGTAGATTACGGCTGTACCATGAAAAGTGCTTTCAAGCAATAAACTCTCTCCCTTCAGGTAATAGTTGAAAGCGTATAATAAATATTGTTCTCATATGTTTGACTTTTTTCCTCTTTCCAACAGTATGACATCTACGAACATTGTCCTAAAGAAAATAAAATGGGGAAATCAGAAACCCCAAAGATTAGAGAGATAAACATATGTCATTTTGTTGAAGGTAATCTTGTTTTCCAGTATTGATTGGGTTATAGTTCTCATTCAGTATACATTTTTTCTCCTCTTTCATGACTATGTATGGTCAAAATCAAAGTTCAGTGTAGTAGTGGAAGACTGTACTTGGGTGTTTAAAGTTTTTTGCAAGATGTGTAAAACTAGCAGTATCATAAACTAGTTTTTAAAATGTGAACATATACAACTGCTCTCTTGACCTGTATAATATGCTGTAATCTCTTTGTTTGTTTAAGGTCTATGACTTTCCATAGATTTCCAGATATTGATAATTTTTGTTTACTGTTTTATTAATTTTACCTTTGATCAAAGTAAGCTACCTAGATAGATCAGAACAAACAATCAACATAGTAATGAATATGGATATTTTGAAACTCTGATCTTACATTTTTGCTTATAATAGTTAGAATGCATTGTTTGGGTACCCTTGCTGTTAGTAATATTTTAAGCTGTAATCTCAATAATATTTTGCGAGACTTGACCAACTTAGGAGATTTAGATTGGTTTTAAATTCATGTATTAAGCTAACAATGTAAAATAATCCTTATAATAGAAAAAAGTTAAAAAGGATAAATGAAGATATATTAAACATTCCAAACAAACTATTAATGAATGTAACATTAAAGAGTATACCTAGTTTGGAGAACACAAAAACACTTGTAGTTTGCTACATTCACTATCACAGATTTCATGCTCCTCGAAGAACTTAACATTAGTATATTGAAAACTTAATATGGTCCTTTGTAAAAACTTCTGAAAGGTAAACAAATTATACTGTGGTTATTTCAAAAGTAAATTAAGTTTTGAAAATTGCTATTATACTTGTTATGCTTAATTTTCAGGAGAAGTGGACAACTATCTTCAACTTCTTCAACAAGAGGCTGCTATAAAGATTCAGCGTGCTTGGAGACATTTCCTCTGTCATCGCGAGATGAAAAAGATGAATATCTTTAAGAATCGTGAATCAGCAGCTCAAAAAATACAAAGACAGGTAACACTGTAAAATGATATCAATTCCTCTTACAGGTCGCTTAGAAATAATAAATATATATATTTTGAAATTTTCAGTTTTCAAATGTATGCTTTCTAAAAATATACATTTTCAACCATAATGCATACTTTTAACATAATGTATCAAAATAACTCATTTCAGATGTAACATTTTTTCAGATTAACTCTGTAGCAATGACACCTTCTTAAACACCTTCTGTGTAGGTTACTGAATTATATTTAAAATATAATTAAACCACTTTACTATAAATGTATTTTAATGAAATTATTATTATTAAGTATGTTATATTTTACATTTTTTTATTGTCTAAGTATTATTCCTTTATTTTAAGAAGAAACATCTAAAACAGCAATTAAAAGTGAAGGTTTTGGTGTCACGTAATCTTACAGTTACAATTCTCAACTTTTTTCAGAGATCTTGTACAAGAAACTGAGTAGCTAAAGTACACTGTTATTTGAGATGGTCAAAGTCCACAAAATACATATATTTCTTTACCATCTGGAGATGCTCCAAGAATTTCTTCTCAACCTAAACAGTTGTAAATTTTTTTCTTAGTTTAACATCAGTCACACTCACTTGCAAAGTTGAAGCTGTGTTGCTATGCAACAGCTTGAAGTTGAATGCCATGCTTATAACCAATAGAAAGAGCAGATTTTCTTCTATTTTAGCTAAATAGGCCAACAGATAATGGGAGTATATGTGTTTCTAAATATCACATTAAAAGAAGCTTAATCCATTGTTGAGAGTGGGGTCCCCAGCATTTGGCTATAGCTTAAAAATAAAGTATAAGTGAAAAGACATGAAATTATGCATAGGAGACCAAGAAGATTATTCTAGTGAATTTCTACAAAGAATTGAAAGGTATGTACATATTTCCATTCATTAATTTTAAACATTTCATTGCACTGCATGTTGATGATAATATCTAGAGTTAGTGATAAGGTAGAGAAAATGTAAAATCAAATATAAACATTTACATTAAAAACTTTTGATATTCATTTATGAGGTTCTTGAGATTATGCAGATGAAAGGTTAAAACTGCAAGATAAAAAAATATTATTTTTATACTTCATATAAATATTACTTTGAAGGTGAATTGTTCAGAGTCTGAGTGCAAATAACTACATGAAATAACGAATTTTTATTAGAAATAGTAAAAAAATAAAATATTTTATTTTTTATGAAACTACATACTTCTAGGACCGCTCTTGTCAAATTTCAAACAATTTCATCCACTAGTTTGATTTTTGTAAAGAACTTTCCCACGAGTTATGTAACCTACTTACAATGTAAGTAGATCATCATCATAGGGTTAACTAAATTAACATGCAAACAGTAATGCATCACCTATAGCGCATGTCTAACACCCGAACACTAGCACATGTGGAGTGATATACTGCATACTAAATATCCCTAAAGCTATACTTTAATTTTGTGCATTGTTAAACTTTTTGAAATATTGAAAGATCCATTTAACAGTCACCTGTTTCAATACTGTTTACACTTTTCAAGACAGTTCATTATTACTTTATATGTTCATATACATCTTTAAAACAATCTTGGAGCTTTAAGTGTTTTATCCATAATTACTCAGCTACTCAAACACTTTGTAATCAAGCAATGGAAACAAATAATCACACCTCATTTTATTTATTAAGCAAACATGTACATAGACAAAGTAAAAACATAATATTTTGATATTGTTCAAGTAGTCTAAATTAAAGTCAAACAGTCTAATAAAATAATGTTAATTTATTTTGTAAAATAAAACTTGATAATTATAATTTTTTGCTTACAAAGTTTGAAAACCATAACTGAATAAGTAGAGTTGTTTAAACATTTGTTTAACAACAAGTAAAAGCTTGGAATGGTCTATTCTTTCATTGGGGTGT